CAATAAAATCTAAAATAGGAGTGAGGATGAATGAGTGATGAGAAATCTGAGATGGGAGTGACAAGTTGATCAATGACTTACCGAGTAATCTGAGATCAGAGACGATTAATGATAAAATCTGAGATGGCGAGGGTGATGAGGACTGAATCAACGAGAAAGCTTCTGATGAGACTTGAGAGGAGGCGACTCAAGCGAGGGCGATGAGGATTGAGGAGATGAGAGGAGGTGACTCAGGCGAAGGTGATGAGAGCCTGAGAGGTCAGATTTCAGAGGAGGCGAGGGTTAGCTTAGGGTTCGTCACTTCGTCTGTTTAGATGAGAGATTGAGAGGAGGCAAGGAGTCTGACTGACTGAGAGAGTAAGAGATTTAGGGCAAAAAAAAAATTTACGTGTCTATTGTCTAAGGTCTAGGTTGTCCAACGACTCCAGCCTTATCTTTACTTCTTTTTTTTTAAGTATAAAATTAAATATATAATATATATATATACGGTTCTGATTCTTACCGGTTCCCACGGGTTAGAACCGAAACCGGAACCATATGTACATGGTTCCTAAATTTGGAACCGGAACCGTGAGAACTGGAAAAAACGGTTTCGGTTCTCATGGTTCCGGTTTCGGTTCCATAGTTCTGGTTCTTTTGTACACCCCTAGTTAGATTGACTACATTTTGGGCCTAGACCAAAAGTCATATGGGCTTTTGTGTGTGTGTGTGTGTGTGTGTGTGTTTAATGGTTATGAGTTACGTCACATAATCCTTCTCAACAGGTGTCGCTTTCACGCTCCAAACGCGCCCCCGCTCTCAAGCTTTACACGCGCTCTGACTCAAATTCTCACTATTTATGACTTAATTATGCCACTCTTACGCTCTTGTTCTCGAATTTGCTCACTCCGGCTCCGCTATATGTGACTTAGGTTATAAGCTTAGTTATATAACTAATTTGACATATCTAGCATAGTGATTAGCCACTACATTGTGACTTCTGGCATTTCTTTTATAAAATTATAATATTCCCTCCATTCCATATTAATAGTCCATTATTTCATTTTTACATATCCCAAATTACTTGTCCTCTTTGAAAAGTAAAAGTATATTTTCTTTATATTTCCATCATTATCCTTTATCTTTTTAAAAAAATTTCAAACTTTGTAACTATATATATTTAAATTAAAAAGGATAATTTGGTAATTTTAAAAGGGAACAATGAATTAATTGCTTATTTAAAAACTCCAATTTCTAAATATGAACGTCTATTGTGAAATGGAGGGAGTACCTGATATATATATATATATATATATATATATATATATATATAGATGGAGGGAGTACCTGATATATACACACACACAATCCATAGTGTCGTCCTTGACCAAAAATAAAAGAAGTTGATTTACAGAATAAAATTTTTTACTAGCTTAGAAGATTTTGGGTGTGTGTTGAATAGTTCTCCGTAATAATTAAGACGATTAAACCAAGAGATAAACCGGAGCTTATGAAGGGATAGCCAACTAGTTTTGTGTGTAACCATGTGCCCACTTCACTAATGCCTAGTGGTTCAAGAATTAATAATACAGTCATAACCCATTTTATTATGCATTTAGTTGATACACTAATTATTTGGTTAAATTGGGTTGGTGGTGTTTTTATTTGATTTTATAATTAATATTGCCAGGTGTCAAATATACCTACTCTCAACTCTAATAGAACCTAATTCCATTCAACTGGATTATACTATGGCCACGTGAAGGGAGGGTGACAGAATGGAGTTCATGAACCAGGATATCTATTGGTTATATATATATGGCTTTTACAATGAAAGAAAAGACTACACCATTTTACAACATTTTATATATATGTATGCTATTCATGTTTGAATAATAATAATATATCAATAATGTGATCCAAGTTGGGCATATTCAAAGAGTTCCTTTTCTTCTGCATACCACCGGCCTTCCTATATGAACATAAAGTGGGACAAAAATTTAATAGGAAAAATTAAAGAATAAATATTAAAAAATTTGTGTTGTATCTTCACACGTTCTTTATGTCTTTTGAATAACTTAAAAATTTTAAGCGGTCTTACCTTCTTTTTGTGTCATTTCTCGGGTCGAATTAAAAATGTTACTTATTTAAGTCGTATTTAGCAATGGCTTTTGTTTGGCATTTTTTTTTTTACTTTGAACAGTGTAGTACTGTACTGTATGTAATGAATTGAAAATCAGAAACGGGTTTTGTAATGTTTGTTGTAATTTGAATAATATTAAAACGTTTTTGAAAAATATCGAGACCAAAACTGAGAGCACCAAATTAGTGTTTCTAGTTATTTCCGCATTGTAGCAAAAACACTTTAGCGATAAACAAATAAAAAAGTAAATAAAATAATTTGCACGACCTTTTTAACTAGTCATTTTATTTTTTAAATTTGCAATAATTTTTTAGAAACATATTTTCACATTTTTACTTTAAAAAATCTTATAACAAATTTTACGCTAGTCAACATATTTTTCCAAATAAAAACATAAAACAAAAATGATTGCCAAATAAAACCTTAATAAACATGTTTATAATTGAGACTCGAGTTCAAAACGAGAATTCGCAAATAAACTGAGTTGGAACCTAAGTCACATAAAGTGAGAGTTGAAGCAAGAACGAAAAAGAATTAGAAAACGAGAGTGTGAGAGCGGCAGAATTAAGTCATAACTATTGAGAATTTGAACGAGAACACGCACGAAACGTGAGAACAAAAATACGCTTGAAATGTGAAAGCGACACCTATAAAAAAAAATTGTTTGACTTAAGTTGAAACTTTTCATAAACAACTAGACGAATTGGAGCTAGTAGCTCTATGCCTCTATCTCATTAAGTCCAACTAAGGAGACCGTTACTTTTAGTTGCATCTTCCCTCGTGGGATGGACCATATACTATATATGAAAGCATGAAAGAAGAGTACCACCCAATTTTACCAACGGAAAGTGACCGACCCTCCCACTTATAATTGTCTTATGAGATATTGATCAAAATGCCCTCATAATTCAAATTCAAACATTTTGAATTTTACCCTCAAATATGTATTTTATGAAACTCCTCGGGAGGAGACAAGGAAAATTGCATCTTCTTCTTAGCAAATAGTAGTAACATGGAAAGATCCCTAGACATGGACACCAAGCCATGGTCAGAGCTTTGGATATATTGTCCAGAAAACAACTACAGAAGCAGACATGCATGTCACGTAGTGCATGTGGCCAAGTCTTCATCCTCACATGCATCTATATGTCTATCATCTCACTTCCTTCACCATACCTCCACATGACTCCACCTCTATGTACACACACACATCATATTTATTAATCTCTCACCGATATTATTTATGTACACACATTGTACTTTCAAGTACCTTACATATGTATATATACATACATGTACATAATTGTTCACTTGCTTTTTGACGCGATAAAAAAATATATGCACACCTTAAGTATTAATCGTTAGATTTCATTAGATAGTTAAAAAGATAGTTTATTCTTTTATGTCCCATAAGATCTAATTCATACATAAATTCCTTGCATACCAATGAACAGGTGAACAGTCCTATGTACATATATAAACAAAATGCAATAGAAAAATTCTATGAACTTTTGACAATTAATTAATTTTCATTTAGTATCAATTCATCAATTAACCTTCTAAATTTGTACAAAATATTGCAATTACCCCATGTTGTCTCTTTACCACTAGCTACACTTGATTTTGCGCATTTTTTTTTTTTTTTTATCTCATTTCTTTGTTGAGGGTAATTTAGTCCTTCTATGATAATATTAATGTCGTCATCGTCTTCATCGATCCTTTCCTTAGCTCCATATGAATGGAACCGATCATATGAATTCTCTCTCTCCAAATTTTTATATTACATACTAATTCACCTATTATATTTAACTTTTGAAAATCATTTTTAATAGCCTCGTCTAATGTTATTTTTAGTCACTCTCTCCGACTCTTTTCTTTAATTGACACGTCACTAGATCTCATATATAAATATATACAAATCATTTAATTTTACTCTCTCGAATTTTCTCTATTATTGAATTACATGACGGTTCTCCTAAATCAAAACTTTTCTAAACTTCTTCATTTCTAGAAATTGAAATACTACTATCAATATACTAATATCATGATTTAGAAATTGTGTTAAACTGATATTAATATGAAGATAATGTCAAAGTTTTAATCACATAATGTATCTTAAAAAAAAAGTTCAAATTGTATTAGATATATTAATTGACTAATGGTAGGAACAAAATAATTAAGTGCAAGAAGATTAGCATTAGCGGACTTTGGTAGTGGGACCCTGAGGAAGGGGCAAATTGACCGTGATTGGGTAGACACATTGATACCACTTGCAATGTTTCTCTAATTTAATTTACTTTTTTCTATCATGTCACCTTAATTTTACTCCATTTCACCACCATATGTATTGAATTATGATTGGTCGAATCATCGAAACAACTGAATAATTTATCTGGCAATTTTTTTTTTTCCCAACTTATAGTAGTTGACTTATATTTGTTTATTCCATTGTATTACTAGGATTTTATGCATTATACAAACTTAGAGTCACGACTTGATGATAATTCCTGTGCATGTGTGCCATGCAGACTACGCAGTACATCTCACGATAGAAATCTCATTAGTTAATAGATATATATATATATATATATAATAAAAAATCAAAGACTAAAAAGTTGACTAATTTCTTATAGTGACAATATATGGAAATAATAATAATAATAATTCAAATTTAAATAAACAAAAAAAATCTCTTGATATTCAGGTTCTGTTGAACCCATGACCTGTCCATGTGCAAGAAATTAAACCTTTTGACATGATATGGGCACAAGTCTCATCTATGGCCCATGGTTTGTTCATCATTGCAGACTACTTTTTTTCAATAGATATTTCCAAGCAAATAAATCTAATTTCTCAGCAAAAAAAAAAATTTCAAAGATAAATTTAATAAAAAAATTTGATTCTGAACATCTCAAATTAGGTCCAAAGAAGAAAATTTTTAGAACATTACATTCTACAATGAATTTGACCATCTTCTCCCTCCATTTTTTTTTTTTTTTTTAGAGAAAATTAAACATCTTCTAAACATGGTCCAAAATTAGGAAATAATTGTTAAAACTTAGAGTTCCTCCATAACATTCTGCTCCAGCACACACTAGATCATGCGTCTGAAATCAGGACCGTTCCTATGATGAATCAAGTAATCATCATCACCGTTGGATGGTCTGAAAACTGAGGTTTGACTGAGACACTGTTGGTGGAGCTCCTTCTGTCTCCGGAGCTCAAGAACCTTCCTATGAGAGTTCGAGTGCTTCGTCGACAGAAATGTCGGGCTCGCTGCGGGTCGGTATTCGGGTACCAACCGACCCGACTTGAACCGGACTCCGCAAGCGTTGCAGAGCGTTTTCGGGCCCATGGGCCCGGCCCGCCACTGCGGGGTCTTCTCAGAGCCGCAGTGAAGGCACCTCCGGCCGGTGGTCTCAGAAGCCCTCGACGGCGTCGTTTTGGAAGCGTATTTGTTAATTGCGGCCGAGGATGGTGGTGGCGTGGCGGGGGAGAGGAGGAGGAGGCGGGAGGACCAGTCGCATGGGGCTGCGCGTGGGCGCTTGCTTCTGGCTTTGCCTGGAACGGACACGTCAATAAGAAACGCCGGCGAGTGGTTGCCGGCGGAAGTTGTTTTCCGGCGAATTTCTTGCGTTGTTTCGGAAGATGAAGTGTCGGTGGGAGGTTGTTTGGCACCGGAGATCAGTTGGAGGTTCTGCAAATCGTCGCTTGAGAATGATTCTTCAACGATGTTCGAGAGCCATTCGAGCTCAGCCAAGTCATCGTACTGTAAATTGAAAAAAAAAAAATCAAAATCAAAATTCAATAAACTATGTATATATATAATTTTTGTTTTCATATATATATATATATATATGTTGAAATTTTACATGGTTTTTCAAGAAATTTGATATAGAAATTACCGGAACACATAGTTCGCCGGCAAATTGAGCATCAGCGAAGCTCCGGCAGCTAATGTTGCCGGAAACTGAGGAATTACAGCTGTCAACTGCGGTGAGTGTGGAAGAATCAGTGGAATTCCCGGCGAAACTGTCGAAGAAAGCATCGGTCATGACTTCGTCTTCCTTGGGGAAGTCGAGCAGGTCGTCAATGGCGAAGTGGTGGTTATCGGATGGTTTCTGATCAAAGCAGCGACTTTCCGGCGAGAATTGGTTGTTGAGGGAGCCAAAAAAGCCGCCGATGTAGAAGTCCGATGCTGCCATTGTTGATGAGGTGTGGTTTCACAAGGGTGAGTTGCAAAGTAACGGTTTCCTAGAAATCTAGAGAGATAAAAAGTTAGAGAGAGAGTAAGCGTTGGATTGCGTTTGCAGATGACAGACGGACAAAGGTGAGCTGAGAAAGTGGTGTGGGTTTTGATGAGTGAGAAAAGGGGCCAATTTAGAAATTGAGAAAATTGAAGCATCTTTACTTCTCAAATAATTCATTAAATAAAGGCAAGAGAAGTCACTTGTTAGTTCTGTAAAGTTGTTATGCACTCATTTTTGTTTCTTTTTCTATTTTTTATTTCTTTCACGATTGCAGTTATTTTTTCAAAACTAAACTACTATCTCCGTCCCACAATAAAAGTCTATTTTTAAAAATGAAAATTTTTAAGAGGACATACATTTAATGTATTGTCCATTTTTAAAATTACCAATTTATTCCTTCTAATTTAAATATATATAATTACAAAATTTGAAATTTTTTAAAAAGATAAAGGACAATAATAGAAATATAGAATTTATTTACTTTGACTTTTCAAAGAAAACAACTAATTTGAGACATGTAAAAAGAGAAAAATAGATTACTAAAATGGGACAGAGCTCCTACTCAAAAAAAAAAAAAAAAAAAAAAAATTCATTTTGTATGTTTTTGTGCTTAAGTATTTAATGTTTTCATTATATAACTTAACATGATTTAAGTGTTTATGTGCTTTGCGATGCGGGGTTTTATCAGTGCATTCATTTGGTGGGTTGCATTGGGTCGTGAGCACTTGAATTTGATTAATGACGTGCATTTGTATTAGTTGATTTTCTTGGTACTCATTTGTCTTTGACTTAGACGGGTTAGTAGGATTTGAGAGAGACATGTGGGTTTCTCAATTTTTGGTCTTCATGCATTGTTAGGTGCATTTTTGTAGAAGAGCATGTTAGTTTCCTTGTTTATGTGCTAAGTGCATATGTTATTTGTCTAACATGATTCGATTTTAAGGTAATGAGCATGATATGTGATGTATGCTAGATTTGGACATGCATATGCATGATTTTTGTTGCATGCTTGGCATGACATGGGATTAGTTGTAGGTTGCATGAGTCGAGGTTGTGATGCATCGCGGGTTAAGCACTTGGTGTGATGAAAGATGCATTTAGTTTTTGCTTAGACACTTTTACCTAGGGTTGCAAATGAACCAAGCTGTTCATAAATAGCTCGGGCTAGGTTCGTTAAGAGCCCGACTCGGGCTCGTTCGTTAACTAAACGAGCCGAGTTTGAGCTCATTTTTCAGGCTCATTTAGTAAATGAGCCGAGCTTGAGCAATGGTAAGCTCGGCTCGTGAAGCTCGTGAACAAGCTCGTTTACATAAAATTAATTATATTTAAATTATTATATATGTAAAAGCTTAGCCCATCCATGCAAAGGTAGCCCATATTACACATCTCTCATGGGCCCAATTCATATTATAATCTTTACAAGCCCGTTCTTTTCTTCTTCTTCTTTTTCATATTAGAACCCATTTTATTAACTAAATAGTCTAGCCCAACTCATGATTTAATCTCAGCCATTGAATAAATTTTTTACATCACAACTTAAACAAGATAGAAACCCTAAACTAGGCGTAAAAAATTGTTTCCTTGTGCGGCTGTGCCAGCGACCACTCGGCAACAAAATCACATAACTCCATGGCAACAGCAAGGTTAGTTCTCTCTCGTCTTCTTCTCTCTCGTCTCCTTCTCTCTCGTCTCTGATAATATTGTGATAGAACTAGAGATCGATGGTTATGGGATTCGGAGTTGACAAATCTTTTCGATTTCTTTCCTTTCTTCGATGTGCTAAATTTTTTGGATAGAAACTGGAGATGGAAATTGATGGTTACCGGTTTGAATCGGAGGATGAATATGGGAGATTAGATGGGAAACTCAGAAGTCGACGATCCAATAACGGCGCAAATTTGTGCATCAGAGGTCAGACTGCCTTGAAATATACACTTATGAGCTGAACCGAGCCGAGCTTAGCCAAAAGGTGCCGAGCCTGAGCCCTGTTAGGCCAAGCTCGGCTGAGCCCGAGCCGAGCCCGAGCACTCCTCTGAACAAGGCGAGCAGAGCCCAAGCAAAGTAAAGCTCAACTCGGCTCGGCTCATTTGCAGCCTTACTAGTTTTACCATGAGGTTTGATTGTGATCGATGGCACGTATCGTGGGGGTATAAGTTGAGGTTGACCTAGTATTGGTTTTAGGATAGGTGGAGAGACACTTTCTGTTTAGGCTCTTGTGAGGTGAATCGTTTGTCGTAGCCATAGTACTTTATGGATTTTTACGAGATTAATGGGTTTGGACTCTCAGTATCAAAAGGGATTTTGATGGTTTTCGGCCTTTACGAGGTATGAATTTCTTGTGCTTATTGTTGTTGAAACTAGTTCCTCTGTACTTGCAATTTTTGTGGGTATGTATATTTGTGGGCGAGTACATGGCACTGACATGTTACCATACTGGTTAGCTATGGACGCTATTCGGGTGGAATCAGTGTGGGCTCTTTTTTTGATAGGCATAGTCCTTTTAATCGACGACGATGATGATGTGAGTTTTGAGATTGTTAGAGGCATGGAGTCTCTTAAGTTTGTGTTGAGCATCCTATGTTGAGTCAGTGACTGATGGTTGTTTTGAGGATGATTCATGGGATTAATTTGATTATTCGATAGTATGGCTAGGGTTGCCAATTCTTTTGAGTCTCTCTTATGCATCGATGCTTTTGGGATTAAGTCAATTGATTGATGTGTGGGTAGTGAGAGAATTGAATTTGCTAGTTTCACCTTGCAGTGTCGCCTTGAGGTTTAGGGATGGATTATTTGGGTTTTACCATAGTGGTAAGGACTCGCCTTAGATCGAGACATGTTGGTGATTTTGTGGTTTTAAAGTTTAGATTATGGTTAAGATTGATTACCTTTCACTTAGACGTCTTAGGACACGACATCCTTAGGATTCATTTATTGCTTTCGTTCCTATAGTTTTCATTTATTGCCATGTTACTAGTTATGATTATGATGCCATGATGCATGAAGTATGAGTAGGTGGAGGTGTGCTCACATTTATTTCCTTATCGTATGGCGTTAGCATTCCTTATCTATGTGCTTAGAGATGTCATGTTATTGTTGCGCTTTGGTAGCATGATTTTGTGCCTATGTGGAGACGTGTTACTCATATAATCAATTTTACTTATATAAGTGGGTTTATTTTATTGGCAGTTGCATTCCCTTTTAATATGCATTGATTGTCATGCTTGGTGTTACGAGTATTCCATTTTCACGTGACATGTGGTATCTAGGCGGGATTTCTTTTTAGTTCATTTGGGAGAGTACGAGTTAGGTGTTGTGTTTCTTTTGTTTTCACGTAGTGTGCAGACGAGCTTTTGTAGTGGTTGCATTTTAAGATTCCTCGGGAGGGAGTTATCACACCTTATTTCATTTTAGTTTGTCCAGTCCCCTTAGGTGGGGAGAATGTTTCGTTTATCGTGTGGGTTGTTTGCACTCTTGGGAGAGCAAGGTTCTCCTCTTTTCTTGGCTCACGTTTGGGACTTCATAAGGAGTGAGTCTCATTTATTCATTGTATTGTGCATAGTTAGGGGTTGGTTGATCTGTGGGTATCACCATAGTCGTTTTGAGTCCTTAGTGAGGATTTGATTGATTCTGGTTAGCTTACTTCTATGTAGGGGGTGAAATCTTTGACCATAGTGTCTTTTGTTTTAGAGATAAAGTTGTTGGGGTTGTCCTTGTTGGGACTGGTGGTCTCCATTTTGTGTTTTCCCTTAGAGAGTTTTAGCTGTGGTATTTAGTGGAGTTTGTTGTGCTCGGTGTGAGTAGGTCTGATGTGAGGTCATTTTTTGGGACTTGTGTCCATATCGTTGAGGATTTGTTTGATTCATTGAGTGAGCTCGATGTTTCTTTAAGGTTGTATTTTGGAGACTTGTTTTGAGTTTTGGAGTCTTGGATGTGATTGATTCTTAGGAGGTGTTTTAAAGGATCAGATTTGGATTTGGTTTTTATTGTGGAGTCATTTCGTTCTAGCTATAGCTATATTTGGTTTGAGTGATCATGATCTCGGTGGTTGTTTTATGGAATGATGATGAGGATTGTTAGGAGTAAAATAGAAAGGATATTTGAGGAGTCTTGTTCCAGCTTGGTATTGACAAGTATGGTTTTGAGAGATTCTGGTTGTGATTGTTGTCAGATGGATGTTTGGTGTTCTGGTTTTGCCAAGAGATTCATAGTAGGGATTTTTGTCTTGTGAATCTTAATGGTTTCTTTGGAGAGATTCACTTTTAGCTTTATTGGGAGACTTGATTGACGTTGTGTTTTTGGTTCCGTTCCGGTTTGGTCACATTAATGACAGATGACCATTTAAGTGATCCCTTCTTTTCGTTTCTTGGTGTATCCGTTGTCGATGCACCAAAGCACGGTGTGTGATGAAATGTGGCCAAGTTTGAATTTGTAAAATGTCACTACCACTACTAACTAATTTGAAGCATTTATACAAACCAATTTGAATCAACATGATCATTTCATATTTTTCCTTACTTCAAAACTATCATTTGCCTCTATACGCAAAGTATTAAACACATACTTCAATCTCTAACAAGTTCCAAGATTACAAGATCCTTGCTTCCCAAAAAAAAAAAAAAAAAATTATTTTAACAATTTACATGAACAATTTTGCACATGCAAACAAAAATGCATACCAAAAATATACCCTTAAACTTGAATGTCACATTATCCTTAATGTGGGAAGACAAAGAATGAATAATGAAAAATAGAGAGGGTAACAAGAGCAATATTACCAAGTATAGGAGAAAAATTCGTGGCGTTGTGACAACATGCCACCATGTGAATTCCAAAAGCCACACCCCCAAACTTGAATCTAAAAACCTGTCAACAATACAAATATATACAACAAGCAGGATACAGAACATAAAAAGAAATAAAAATGACCAACTGCAATTTTATTTAACCAAAAACCAAGTATCCATGCAAAATAGCATAAAGAATTGCAGTTATAAGTTCAAAATAGGAACTGAAAGGAATGCCAAATGGGGCCCAAAGTAAAGCAAAAGAGTACTACTGAAAATGAAAATAGGAACTAAAAACAAAATATCACTCTATCATTGGAGTAGAGGATGAGCCACCGGCTCTGCCTGGTGGTCGGTCAATCAAAGATTGCAGCATAGCCTGTAAAACCTACTGCCCCTCTTGAGTCTCCTTACAAAAATCCGTAAGGGTTCCCTCCATGGTCTCCACTTGCAGCCGCATTGTGTCAATACGGGTACTAAGGGAGTCATAATCAG